TAGTAACTACGGACGTTCCGTAGTACTTGAGAACCCTGCACTTTCGATTCCACTCAGTGCATATGACTTTGTGGTGAATTTCAATGACGTCATCTTTGTCTCAGCGTATCAACGTCCCAGTGTATCAGCGTCTCAGTGTATCAGCGTCTCAGTGTATCAGCGTTTATAAGACAACGGTTGGGTACTGGGACGTCAACGTAGGCCTAGTACCGTGCATAGGTAGGACTTTCGCAATATGCAGCGATTTCACAAATCGATGATCAAATATAACGTTAAAAAATACGATTTTTTTTAGTTATTTCCGATGTAATCGCTGCTGGAGTCGCTGGCCACCATCAGTTTTAAGAAGCCATTCTGAGCAGCTGTGGTAATATTGCTCTCATTGCTGTTGAAAGGGATCACGTGCTAGAGAAGACCCATGATTTTGATGTTGAAAATACTATACTCATTGTGAATTTTTGCCAATAAAATTTATATATTTTTAAAAAGCATGTTATAGTGTTCACTTACATACGTTTTTTAACAAGATTGATGTAGTATTTGATGAGTGCAATTTAAAAATGTGTTAAAAAACCCGGTGAGCCAAATTTGCGCTCATAAAAAAAACATTGGGAAACCCCTTTCAAATTTCAAAACACAATCGCTTGATGACCGTCAAAGCTAGCGGAATGATTTTTTAGCATGTTATCAGGCTTTAAAGTTTGCGTTTTGAGCGATTGTTCATGAACAAAACCGATCGAAAATACAACTAAATTAAAGCTAGATCTTATTTATATCTGATAAACTATCATTTAATAACAGATTTTGCATGGTCATCAAATGAAAACATTTTGAAATACGGTGAATTTGGGAGTAAATGCAGAGACCACACCATTGTGTATTCGGTGAAGCTTACTTACCACACGCGTATTAGTCACTAATCACTACCACTTAAAACCCAATTTATACCCCGCTGCAAAAATGGATGGTTCCAGTTCGCCCACTGATGCAGGTGTTCTGCTGCTGTCGCGCTGCACTGCGAGGTAGAGAGCCTGCAGCAGGCATAGTTTGTGATGATACAAGATCAAATATACAATGAAAACTAGCAGATTATTTTTAATTTGACGAGTTTATTCTCTTTACCCGAATTTTAATATTCAATCAAATATCCATCTTGCAATTAGGAGGACCTAGCATAGAACTTAAGTAGGCTAGAAGATGAATCATCTCTACGTATGTAGACCCCGGTGAGAGATGTGATTGTGAGTAAAAATAGCCGCCGTCGTGCGCTTGCGAGATAATAAATATAGACAGACCAGACTCGACTCAATATTTAGGCCAGCACAGGGACGTAGCCAGGATTTTGAAAGGGGGGGAGCCGTTATGCGAATTACGTATGACCCCGGCGGGGTCAAGGGGGCGAATCCCCCTGTGAAATAGTGCACTCTGAACGTTCTTAGGACTGTTTGAGAGGATAAAGTGAAAATTGCAATAGACGCATTTTAAATAAGCGAAAAAATAATTATATAATAAATCAACAGTGGCAGATCCAGGAATTCGAAAGAGAGGTGAACCAAGGAGAGACTTTCACAGACCGAGGAACCACCCACCTCAGCCCCACCATGGTTGGGGCTGAGGAAAGAAAATTTTATAATTAGGGCATTTCTAGATGGCCGGAAATTACACTCTCGCACTTCAATTTGAATATATTTTTCCTTTTTTTTTCTTAAAAAATTAAGGTGGGGGGGGGGGTGCCTTGAATCCACTGCTTAAAACATTCTTTATCCAGAATAGTCATAATCACGAAAAATGGACATGAAAAACCACCAGATCATATCCTAAAAACAAACAGCAGTCACTAAGACATACATCAGGAGCCGAGTTTAATGTCATACCCAGGGAAGGGCACAGATCTGTTTTGAAAGGTGGAGGGGGAGGGCATTTTGCAAGTCGACACCCACCCCAACCCCACAATGGTTGGAGCTGAGGTGAGAAAATTTGAGGAAATAGTACCTCTAGATGGCCAGAAATGACACTTTTAGTAAAATTCATCATCATCACGTCACCATTAGTCAAAATGAAGCGCCAAAAGAAATTCTCATGATCTTTTATCAGGGATGTTTAACAACCATAGAGATCTTATTAATGTGTGTGTATACACCATAGAAAACAAAGCTTAAAAACATTGTCTTTGAGTATGTACTTTACATAGGCCTACATCAAAAACGTGATTTCACAACCAAGATGTGTATAAGAGACAGCACTTTGACATCTCTGGATCCGCTTTTGAAATAATATTTCAATCATTATTACTATTAGTAGTAGTATTATTAAACAAACATTTAAAGAAACTTGCAAAAGGATAAAAACGAAATTGAACCACAGTATCGCATTTCTATGTTAAAAGACCTGGCCTGAGATTTATGGATTTAAGATTAGAGGCTTATGTGTTCTATTGGGCCTATTTATAACGTGTACTGATGCATATTTACATGCTTAGAAGTATTCATTTTAAGTGATCCCAGGAAAGAATTTGTATTGGCTCAAGAATAAGCTTTAAAATTTTAACACTGTGTACAAAGGGGGGGGGGGAAGCCCCAGGGACGTATCTCCCCCCCTGGATACGTCCCTGGGCCAGCATATGTAACACCAATACCTTAGCATTTTAAGTAGGTTTATGATTATTGTCCATGTACCATCAAGGTTACTATAGAACTTATAAAATGTTGATGCATCTTTTTAGCCTAGCCCCGGTCCCTAGGCATGGTTCTAGTGTGATCACGAAAAGCGCTCAACAAAACAATGAAGGCCTAGCGTGGCCTACGCTATATGGGGGTCTCTTCTCTCATCTTCATTAATTTTTAAACCAGTTAAACTATGGTTGAATTTTAGTTAAATTATCATTTATATTTTTAATAATAATATTAGAAAACGACATTTATTTCTACTTTGTCAAATTTACTGTATAATCGGAGCACATCGGAGATGACGTTTTCAAAGGCTGTTGAAATAGTTCAATTTTTCCATTTTTGAGACATGCGCAAAAAATCTGCACGAAATAGCATACTTAGGGCCATTTAATCAAAAAACGACATTAAAGAATGACCCACAAAAAAAATAGACACATACAACTCCATAAGATCTTGAGGTTTTGTGAAAATTTGACATTTTATTACTTTTAAAGTTATGGCCCTCCAAAAATGCTCCAAAATGAGTCTGGAAAAAGGACCCACTTTTTCGCATTCGGACCCCCTTTTTCACCATCTTTAAAGGGCCATAACTTTTGAACGGTGTATTGGATTATAATAATTTAAACTGAAAAATGATCAGTGCAGTGAGTTCTGTAGATCTAATGTTTACTAAATTCAAAATAATGAAATTGAATTTTCTCATTGGGATACCTATTTATAATGCTAAATGAATGTTCGAAGCAGCTTACCTCAGTACCATTTTCATTTAATATCACATGAAATGTGGTATCATTTTTATGCCAAATAGCTTTATATGATGTCACCCATAAAGGCCCGTCACTTAGTCCTTGTGTTACTAAACCAATAACCGATTTCACATCATCGAGGTCGGCTTGAATCCATTGAAGCTGGTTTAAGTTTTCAGGTATCCATCCTGATGCTGTGTTCAGTCGTCCATGTTGAGCAGTATAATTTTTATATGCTGAAGATGCTATGAGGTTATCTGATGGAATGGTACCATCTTCAACACCAAGTGGTTCAGTGAGCCCACAATCTAAAGAGATATATTATTTTGTATTATAAATAGTGATATACTGCCTGTGTTAATTTGCTGAAGTAAAATATTGAACAGGTTGGAAATTTTTAAGTCTCTGATAAAGTATAATATTGATATTTGATTCCTGATGATGACATAATTAATGTATAATATTGACATTTTAAAATCCTTGCAGTACATCACACAGATATTTCTGAAAAAGAACTGTTGTTTTGTTGAGAATGTCTCGACGTTTTGAGTGATATTATTCTCCTGATAATGATTGTAGCAACTCTCAAAAAAAACTTTTCAGAACTTTCTAGGTGGTGTACTGCAAGCATTTATAATAATATATTATTACTATGACTTGAAAACATAAAATAGACATGAATGACATGCTCAGTGAAGTAAAACCTATTCATAAAGTACAATGACATGATTCAAAAACATGCACAATATACAGTAGCTGAAATAGAAGCGCTAAGTTGTCTGACAGGGGGACTTGAGCTAGTAGGCTCGAGCTGGGGGAAAGGGGATGAGAGAGGGTTCCCCTCCCAAATGAGGTCTTTTTTTTAGAATAGCAACCTCTGGATGGCCAGAAATGGCACTCTCAGACTGTGACAGACATGTTTTGGCTTGGTGTGGGCCTATTTTTATATGTTTTATGGTCTGACTGCCCGATGAGCTCTGTCCAGCGGGGGGCTTGACCTGTTCAATGGGGGACTTAAGCCCCCTTTCGCCCCGCTGGCGCCACCACTGGTTGTGTACCTGATAGGACATGCGAAGTGTTGAGTCCATAACAACCCCAAGATTTCTGCAGGACAGCGAAGGTTCAATGACTGCATCTCCTATTTTAATAGAAGTCCAGCGAGCAGGCTTAAAACGTGATGAAAAATGAATGAGTTCGGTTGTGCATCATTCATTATATAAGGTTGTTGGACTGACACCGAGATCAAACTTCACCTATGCACAATTCTAGTCTACTAACAGCAGCATTTTTTTGGGGGGGGGGGCATCTACAGTTACTTAAGTGGATTGATATATTGGATTATAAAATTATTAATTATTATTACTGAAACATTAATTATATTTTCTGTACACTTCCTTTAAATTTTTCAGTATTTTTCTTCATTTGTGCAGGAAATTTACAGAAAATAGGTCAGCAGAATCGCATTAACACTATGAATGCCTATATATTGGTTACAAGTAGCCTATATTTGGATAGCCAACAGCCGACTTTACGGCAACATTTGTGCGGAAATTGGCAGTATTTTTAAGATGCATGGATGAAATTTTGTCTTTATGAGATAACTCTAAATCAATTTACACATAATTTCAAGTTAAACAGAATTCCTGAGTTTTCACCAACATTTCGGAAGTGCCGAGACCCCAGCTCCCCACTTGTCAAAGCCATTTAGGCTTCGTTTTAAGCCCAAAAAATTGGCATCACACAGCCAGCCGGCGACACTTAGGTTATAATGTAGCCTAGAACATCAGGCCTGGGCATGTTCAACTTCAGCAAAGTATCTTATACCTACATATTTAACGATCTGTAGTTTCATTTTCTTGTTCAATGGTTATTTTCATTGAGAATATTAAAAAAAAACTGGTACGCCTTCCAACTTTAAAACTTCAGTATTAATCGTCAGAGAACATCGTCACACGTTCTAGTGTTTACAAAGGTTTCGCGGAGTAACATATCCCAAACCATGTGTGCGCCCGCGCTACATGTCACCGGCGGCGATATTTTCTGTAGGTAAGTTGAGCCCATTGCAAGTTGCCCTGAAGACATAATGTCCCAGCATTCTGATTAGTTTACAACTTGCAATGGACTCAACTTACCTACAACTTACCTTACTCGCCAGCGGGTGTAGTCAGGCGCACACATGGTTTGGGATGTCACTCGGTGAAATATAGTTTCTGAACTTTAACTGATTTGACTGGTTTAACTGATGTTGTTTTTGTTACATTTTTTTTCATGCCGAAAATCAGCCCTTAGCGAATTCGGTCCTGTTACCCGACCTACTCAGGTAATCTATCATCCAACCCCCTGTCACAAGTGACAGGTCGGGTGACAGATTCGCTACTTACATAAAATTTATTACCCACTGTCGGCGGCCTGCGAAGGTCGCGTACTAGTGTATTGTAGTTTGGCTAGGAAGGTTAGTGATCTAGCGTGAGCAAGAGATATTTCGTTTACAATGGTCAAGCACGGCAAACGTAATGAATAAGCCTACAATCTAGGCTAAAACAATTAATACTCTCTTAACATATTCCTACATTTTCAATAAAAAGAAGTTATAATCGGGAGCGCATGTTTAGGTGTGGTGTGATGCCAAAGAGTGCATTGGAAGTCCGTAACGAACAGAAGCAACTACTGAATTTCCCGCAAATATTTTTTTACTGGGAATTGTTCTTCTTGTCTATACCACAGTATAATTAAAAAGAAAATACAAATCGTGAAAATTATGATACATAACAAACAAAAATAATAAGATTGAACTGAAGCGCCTACCCTGGCATCCCAAAACCGAACCATTGTGTGCCCCGTGAAGCTTATTATAATAGTATTTAAACATGTGTATTATAATGGTTAGTGCACGTGTTTGAATATTAATATAATATTTAAACATGTTTATTATAGCGGCTAATACACATGTTTAAATGTGGTAATGTTTAGGCATGTGTATTTATAGTTATAATACAAAATGAATACCCTGCCGCAAAATGGACGGTTCTACATCGCCCACGACGACTCAAGCACATGGGCTTCTCGTTCGTTCGTGACGCTGTGCACTGGCCGTGAGAGCGAGTAATCGTCTGTAGATCGTATGCAACGAAGATACAGAATATCAGTTATAAAATCAATTTAGCATTTGATTTTAATACATGACGAGTTATTCTCTGTTCGTAAATTCTAACTGTCAATTCATCGCTAGATTCGGAGGCCCTATAAAATAGAGATTTACTACTCTCTGAGCCTAGATTGAAATACATCAGCTGTAAGCTGCAGAATAGCCCCTGAATAGCCGGGAATGTGAGTAAACATTGCTGTACGCCACACGATCATAAAATAAATAGAATAGGCCAGAAAGAATCATATTCTTATATTTATTTAGACCAGCAGAAACACCAATACACCATGTCATTTTCAATACATATGTGTATTGAAAATGACCAAAATTACCATCTTTGTTTTTTGAGAACTAATAAAATATTGATGCATCTTTCTGGCTAGTATTCTCCCGATCGCCAAGTCACAGTTTTACATTCACGAAATTCGTGAAAAAAGTAAAGTAAATCCACAGACGTACAGCTACTGTTTTTTTTCATTATGGTCAGATTTTAGTTTAAAACATTTTATGTTTTAAATAATAACATTAACATTAACATTAGATTCAGAAATTGTGTATACTTTCTGAAATTTGACCATGATTGAAGCAGTACTGGCTGAACTGTGTCCGATTTTCTCCTACTACCAAGGTCTTGTTTACTCATTGTGAAGGCCGTTTAGGCAGCATGCAGGCAATTAGCAATCAATCATCCAACCCACCAGTGACCGTTTCTTCTAAGGGGAAGAATTTGTCATGTTGTTGCCAGAACAAGAAACATTCCTTGTAGAATTATGATATATCTTTTTATATATCTTATAGATTAAATTAACCAATTAATTCAATTGTTGCACTTTATTATTGCACGTTTAAAATTAAATCTTTATAATACTTTGTTAAAGAACGAAATAAATTGTTTGATATAGGCCCATTACTAGTTGCCCATGAAATAACTATGCTTACCGTCTACTACATTCAGTGAGAAACATTCCCAATTCCAGGCTCCTCCTGGTAGACACAGACACCAAGGTTACCAGGCACAAAGTCATTTGACTCTTTGTACGCCGCCGATACGAACAAAAGTAGGTCAGTAAATAAATGGTAGTAAAGGAGTTGCTTTCATTCAATTTAATTAGGTTTCAAAATTTGCTGTGAGACCTACGTTTGTTTGTTTGTTTTTTGTAAATTTCAAGATGTTGCTCATTGAGATTCATGTTGTTAAACTATAGCTGCTCCATGAAGTCTGGCTAAGGTTATCATCAAAGAGTATTTCCCTTTGTTATCATCAGCCATGTGATTGAAGGAGTGTAATCTTATTTCATAATGTATGAGGTTTTAATAGGTAATTCGTTTGGTTTTCAATAAAAGATGTCTGCCTTAATAGTACTTTGAATACAATCATTTATTTACGATCTATTTAGTATTAAATTTGATTATTGCTTGATGCTGGGCCGTTTACATCGTATGAGTCAATATACGATCATTCAAAATTTCGGTACATATTCTATTTTATGAACAAATACGTTAAGGAAACGTTCACAATTACGTGGCGGTGCAGGTAACAAAATAGAAGGGTATACAATTGTGAAATCCGATCGAAAAGACAGAAAAGGTGGAGGAGTTGCACTCTACATCTCAAATGGATTAAATTTTAAGGTTAGGAATGATTTGAACCTGCCATTGAATCCAAATTATGAATCACTTTTTGTAGAAATTGGTACCCAACCAAAATCTAGCATCGTTGGCATTGTCTACCGGCCACCAAATAGTTCCATTCATCTCTTCTTAAATAATATTTCCAAATGCATTGATGCAGTCTCAAAAGAAAAAAAACAATCATGTCTGTGGCTTCCTAAATACAATGTACTCACTTTCATTCTATCCTCTAATTGACAAACCTACCAGAATTACAACTAGATCGTCAACTCTAATTGACAATATATTTTCAAATGTACTAAACCAAAAAATAACCCCAGGAATACTATTCAATGACGTCACCGATCATTTTCCAATATTCTTAATATTAAAAAAACATTCTTCGAACAAATCTAATAATATAACGATACAAAAAAATCACTATTCAAGAAAAATAAACCAAAAATCAATTGCATCATTAGGAATTAATTTATTAAACACCGACTGGGAGGATGTTTACTAAAATAGTTCTGCAAACGAATCATATAACA